CATTGTCTTCCAGCTCTGGGCTGGCTTCCATTACTAGTGGATGCCCAAGATATCCCTCGGCGTTGTTCACGCTTGACAGCAAGCGGCTATTGGTGCCAGGTTGTCAATCAGCTGTGTGACTTGGAGCAGAGTACTTGCTTGCTGAGCTTGTTTCTTCATCCATAAATTGGGAGTGCTAACGATGCCTACACTGTTAGGTTGTTGTGAGGTGAAATGTGATCGTATGGGAGTTGTCCCAGCACAAGGCCTGGCGCTTGGGAAGCCTTTGTAAACGGAAGCTGTTCTCCTAGTCTGCTTCTCCTTCTGCCAATATGTGGTTTCCTTGAGGATTCATCTTTGTCTCAGTATCCTGCCTGAAGCATGGTGTCCTGCTTACGTATTTGTTTTGAGAATAACTTCCTAGGGGCACCTGGCTGGCTCACTTGGTAGAGCATGCGACTCTTGCTCTTGGGGTTATGAGTTCAAGCCCCATGGTGGGTGGAGAGCTTTAAAAAAAAGGATATATATAGAGAGATTAACTTCCTGAAGGCCCATCTAATTCTCAAGTCCCTTTGTTTTGACCCATCAGAGGCTGTGTTAAGGGGATTTCGTTATGTGTTGCCCTCCAAGAGTTAGACTGCAATGGCAGCCGTTTAAGACTGTGTGCACCTGGCCTGGCACTGCGCCAGTCCCCAGGACAGGTTTAAATGTGTGCAGGTGAGTCACTGGCACAGATGGGAGGAAAGTGAGGAGGCAGGTGCAAGGAGTGGGTGAGGGTGAGGGGGTGGTAGCTGGTGGAAGGAACTATGAGTTCTCCCAGCATCTGTACTCTGCCTGCCCTTGAACTGGGTGCTGTTACCTGCTCAGGACACTTCACTGTCCCCAGCACCTGCCACAAAAGAGGTGCCCAGTGGCTGCTGAAATAAGCTGAAGAGCAACCAAGAGCAGGGCATGGAGGGCAAGGCCTGGAAAGGTGACCTAAACCTGATGGCTTTGACCTGCTACTTCAAGGCTGAGGAGGTGTCTGGGGGGGGGAGGAAGCCATGGGGGAGGCTAAGAGGGAGTGACTGAGGCTGCCCGTAGCCCAGCTCAGCTGGTGTGTATTTTAGGGAGTGGAGGCTGTACACACCAGGAGTGGGCTGATAGCTAAGGGCCTTGAATGCCAATTCACGAACTCAAACTTGATCTTGATGCTGAAGGCAGTGTGGGGCCATGAAAGGGTTTTAGCAGACTCCTGTGGTCCCCATGGCAGTGTTTTGAAAGCCCCTGGTCTGTTCCGTTATGGGAATAGACTGGGGGGGAGGTGGACTAGAGATGGGAAGCCCAGTGAAGAGGCTGCCAGTCTCCTAGGCCAGAGGTGATGGTGGCCACGAGCTGCGGGGGAAGGTGGAGTTCAGTAAACACAATGTAAAGGCCTGGCCACCTCCTCTGTGCCCCCGCGGCCCCGCTGAAAACTTTGCTCTCGCTGTAGCCTCCAGGTTTGCGGTCCAGCCCCCACCCCTGCCCCGTTACCTGCAAGACATCACGCAAACTCCCTGTGGCCCGGCCTCCTGGCTCACCTCCAATCCCTTACACTCCAGGGTCCGCCTTCTGCCCCCTTTGCGCCCCAGCCACCCCTCACAGCTGTCCAGACCCCGACTGGACTGGGCTTTCACGGCTCTGAGCCCAGGACACCCTCCCAGCGGCCACTCCCTGGCCCTGCGGCGCTGACCACACTCCCCTCCTCCTGTAGTACCCTCCCCAGCTCCTCAGAGCTTCAGGGAGGGAGGACACTGCCTGTCTTAAAAAAACAAAAAACGTGTTAACTCTGCGGTGAGGCAGGCCAGGGAACCAAGGCTCTGGAGGCACTCTCTTCCAGAGCTGATGGCCTGCGGATTTCCGCATCTTTGTTCAAAGATACCAATGTGAAGTTTTTAGTTTTGAGGGTTTGCTGTCGCTGTTTTTATGGAGGAAACAACAGAGGCAGAACACAGGACAGAAAGCAGGATTATTTCCTCCTGGAAGGGCTTCTTCTCTAACCAGGACACTGAGCCCTCCTCACGCCCGCCTGGAGCTGTGTGTCCCTGGTGCTCGCTGCACCTTCTAGGAGCTGCCACGAGTCTGGGGGGAGGGGCCGCCTGAGCACAGCCTGGCTTAGCGCTGGCCAGCAAGCCACCAGCGACCCCTGTGCTGTGGGAGCCACTCTGTGACCCCCCCCCCAAGTCTGAACTCCTGTGGGGGTCACTAGGGAGAAACCCCGGGGAAGACCCTGTCTAGAGTCCCAGACCAGGACGTCCACCCTGAGCTGATGCCCTCTGAGTCGTCTTCTTGGCACCACCAGGGTATTCAAGAACACTGGTGAACTGTCACTTAGCCCACTGGCCGGTCACTGCTGGCTTAAAACCCACCACAGCTTCCTCAGGATGAAGCACATTCGAGGCCCTGCTGCCCCCCCACCCTCGCCTCAGCCCACTGTCGCCCTGCCCCAGCCTCAGCCCACTGGCCCCCTGCCCCAGCCTCAGCCCACTGTCACCCTGCCCCAGCCTCAGCCCACTGGCCCCCTGCCCCAGCCTCAAACCACTGCTGGGCTTCCTTCAGTTCCACGAGGCAAGCTTTCCTCCCCTCAGAGCCTGAGTGTGTGTTTTCCTGCCTAAAAACTCCCAACCCCGACACCCTCCAGACCAGGTCAGAGGCCATCCCGTGCCCTTGTGGTACCATGTGCCTCCCCTTTAGAGCCATGTAGGTGAGTCACCTCTCTCTGTGCCCCCCAATCCCTTCTCTCCAGATGGCTCGAAGTAGGGCCCCCCAGTGCCTGGATGGACCACGTTGGCCATTCCACACGTGGTTCTGTCAGGTGACGGGTGGTGACAAAGCCGGTCTGGAAGAGGCTTGGGGAGGAGTTCTGTCAGGGGACAGGACTTCTCACAGGCATCCAGCCACACTATCTGGGACCCTGAGAAGGCTCTGTGCCCCCAACTCCAGATCACACCCTGTTGGCAAGGAGGGTGATGGTGAAGCTAGAATAGCCAGCCAATTTTCAGGGAGCTGAGAGCAGAAACCCGATCCACTTCACTTCCTTTCCCAGGCAAGACCCCAGAACCAGGGTTTGTGGAGGTGAGAGGGCCCTGAGTTGAGGAAACAGGTCAGCTGTGATGAAGTTCCCAGCATCTGGAGAGAACGGGAGCCCAAGATGAGAAACAGTTGATTTCTAAAGAAAGGTTGCCAGCCCTGAGTGGCTGGTCTGATAATACAGACCAGCCCCAGAGCCTGGCCTTCTTGCCGAGGGAGAGAGAGGACGCAACACCAGAGGTGACCACTTCCTTTATTGCCTCTGGGCTGGGGTCCTGGGCTGGGGCTCAGAGGTATCTGGGGGGAGCAGGTGACACTGGGCCCAAATTATTGCTACCTGGCAAGGTCACCTTGGGACTTCCCATAGTGCCCTGAGTATGGGTGGCTGGGCATGAGCATGCAAATGATATGCAAATGACATGCAAACCAACCCAGGATCCTGCAGAAGGCTCTGGTGCAGCGGAAGGTGCTGGAAGAGTTGGGAGCCTGCCAGCCCAGGAGGGTGGTGGGGACACCCAGGTCCTTACCCCACACTGCAGACGGATCCGGCCCAGCCTCAGGGCTCGAGGTTTGGTGGGGGGATGGTGTCCCTGAGCATCAGCCCTGGTTCTGCTGCTGGTTGAGGAAGAGCAGAAGCCTGGCCCCAAGGCAGCAGGAAGAAAGCAGGGTACCCACTAGGAAGCCAGACAGCCCAAGGCCCACCCGGAGAGGGAAGCGACCTGCTCTGTGTCACACAACAAGGCTGGGACAGAGAGGACCAGAATCCAAGCCTCCTGAGCCAGGCAGAGGCCAGAGTGCCTCAGAGGCTAAAGATCCAAATAAAATACACTGATAAACAGAAAGCAAGCAGCCCAGTCCCTGATCCCTGGGCTGAGAGACTCTCCACCGGCTGGGTCTGGGGGAGGAGGGGCGGGGGGCACCTCTGAGAGCCCAGCCCCAGGTCTAAGAGTGGCCACGTCCTTGGTCTTGGTGCTGAGTTGACCAGTCCAGAAGCTCCAGGGCCTTGGCTTATGCAGGTCAGGCTCAGTTATTATTCATAATCCACCAGGAGGCTAGGGGTCAGAGGTTGAGGATCAGAAGGCATCGGGGGCCCACTGCCACTCCGTACGGCTGTGGAGAGGGTTGGGGGCCACAGCATACCTGGGAAGAACACAGTGGTGAGGGTGTCCGGAGCCCGAAGATAGTCAATGAGGATGCGCTGGAAGGCCTTACTACAGGCGGAATGCTGGTGCCTGCGGAGGGTCATGGAGTGACCTGAGGCGGGAGCTGGTCCCCCAAAGAGCAAGACCACCTGGTGGAGAGCTCCCCGCTCCCTCCCCAGTCCTGCTGTCTGGATTCAGATCCCAGTCCTGCCTCCTGCTGGCTCTGAGCCTCAGCTCCCCCTGAGAACTAGGGGCAAGAGTGCATACGGCAGCAGGACACGCAGAGGATTACCTGAAGCGTAACCCATGGGTCCTGGCACAGGCTGCGGCGCAGTTCACCGAGGGCCTGCTCTCTACCCTGCCGCCAGCACTGCGTTCAGGTCTTCATCCGCCGTCTCATTTGGCTCACAGGAGGGGGGACCTCTTACCACTCTCGTTTTGGAAAGGACACCGCTGGGGCTCGGAGGGGATAAGTAACCCCCCCGAAGTCACACAGCCAGGGTATGACAGCGGATGATTTGGACCGCGGCCTGACTCACTCAGGGCCCATACTCAATAAATTTTAGTTTTCAGACACCATTCGTACCTTCTCCAGGAGGCCTCATCCTGCCAGAACTCATACAGGGTGAAAGAGGCATTGTCCAGCATCTTCTGGGCAGACACACTGCGGGACCAAAGAGATGGCCAGGCCAGGCCCAGGCTACCACCACCATTGCCCACCCAGCCAGGATGTCTAATGGGAGCCCTGGCCCAGGATGCCCAGCCCCCCCGGCACTTTGCCCTACTCACCCCCGCCCCCCCGACCTTGGCCAGCCCACTAGCCAGCTGGGGACTCACTGCAGGCAATGGCTCTGGGCCCCTGTGAAGTCCACGTAGCAGCACAGGGCACGGTGGAAATCCTGCAGGGCTTCCTCTGCCACCTGCACCTGCCTCTGGGCCATGAGGATGTGCTAGCAAGAGAGGCCACCTGGTCAGCCAGGGTAGGGCAGGGCTCGGCGAGGGACGGGATGTGGCCTTCAGGAAGACCCTGCCCTGCCTGACTTGCACCAGCGCTGGCCTGCCATGAGATCAAGCTCCTGCCCAACCCAGCCCCCGGCATCCCTGACTCCATCCTCCTCTCCCCATGGCCAAGGTCACTGCCTCGATCCAGCCACTGTCCCCCTCTCCTGCAGTATGCCACCATTTCCCCCTCCAACCTCCATCCACGCTGCCCAGACCAGCTTTCAGGGATGCAGATGAGAGAGACTAAGGCCCAGAGAGGGGCCAGGACTTATGCACGGTCCCACAGCAAGGGCTGGGGCCCGGCGCCTGCCTGACAGGCCTGGGGGACGAGGGCTGGGCCAGCCTGGGAAAAGGGCGTCTGTATAACCCAGAGGCCAAGTGGGCAGCAGGCCCGTGAGTCCCCTCACTTGATGAGCACCTCCTCCTGGCACGATGCCCAGTTGCCTGTCCCTCTCCTGGACTCACCGAGTCAGGCCCCTTGGTAAGCTCCTCTTCGTGCAGAGGTTCCAGCTTGGGGGCCTGTGAGGGACGCAAGGTGTGGGCAGGGCCCCCAGCGTGTCTGGCTCAGGCAGATTCCAGGAAGGTCCTCCCCCTTGGGGCACTGGCCACGTGACCCTCACCTTACACTCGAGCTGGTCGATGAGCTCCTGGAGACGGTTGACCTGGAGCCGCCACCGCATCTCGGCTCCCGAGCTCTGCCCTGGGGTGGGAGACCCATGGCGGGAAGTCTGGCACCAGCCCCGCACGTGGGGAAGCCTCTCAGGGACGGTGGAGGGGTGGGCACCGCGCCCACCCGGCACCCTCCTCAGCCAGACCTCCCACGCTGCCACAGGCCCACCTGTGTCCGAGGCGGAGGAGCCAGGAGACCAGGTGGGTGACCGACCGATGCTCCGCAGGGCCCTGCGCCCTGCCCGCCGGCTGCCGTGGGGCCTGCTCTGCACCCCCACACTGTCTTCGTCTGACCTAGGGAAGTGGAAGGTCGACCCGCTGCTCCCAGACCCACAGGCCAAGGACTGGGGCCCCAGAACAGGGCCAGGCCTGGGTGGGGCAAAACAGGCTTCCGGGGACATTGAGACCCAGCCTCAAAGCCAGCCACCCCCTCTCACCCCTTCTTGGCCTCCCTGCCAACAAGAATGTGAGCTCTGGGATACCGGAGCTACGGAATGTGATGGAAGCCGAGGGCCCCGGAATGTGGCGACGGCGACCAGCAGGGCACCTCACATACCGTGGGCCCTGGGCCTGGGCCTCCAGGGTATCTGACGCCCCTTCCAACGAGCTCTGCAGGGCTTGGAGCTGGCTCACCGTCTCCCGCAGGAGGAAGCGGGTCACAAACTGGTCCACCTTGGAGGCCCGCTCATACTCCTGGGGGCAGAGGGGACATGGTCAACATTTCCTGGTCTCAAGCACATATTTCTGAATGGGGAGCCACTGCCCTGCCCCCCTACCCCCTGCCCATCAAAGCAACGGAGGCGGCATGAAGAGCAGAGAGCATGCAACGGGAGCAGAACAGTGCTGGGACTGGGAGCGGGGCCTAGACCCTCCTTGTCTGGGCCTGGCCTTCCTTCCTGGGAGGTGTGAGGCCAACCTAACAGGGAGGCATCTGCTGTTTTCTGGGCCCCAAGGCCCCTTCCCTGTTGGGACACCACCTTCAGCCAGTGTGGCCCCAGGTACAGGTAGGCAGGTGAGGGGTAGGGCAGGTCACAGGGCATCCAAAGGCCAGTTTTGACACACGAGGCAAAATGGTGTGATGTGGCCCCATACTCACCAGCTGGCCCTAAACGCATAATCTCTCCATGCATTCATTCATTCACTCATCCACGCAACAAACATTTACCTTTTCCTAGGAGCTGCAGATAAAAGCCTGCCAGCCAGGTCCCTGTCCATACACACACCAGCACTGATCCCTACATCACTAGCTTCCACTCAGCCCCTCCCATCGTGGGCAGAAAGACAAGGCCGACACATGCCAGGCCCTATGCTGCTCATGTGGGATGCTCAGAGACTCTCCAACTACCTTCGCCTCCTTGTGCCTCAGTTTCCTCACCTAGAAAACAGGGATGATAACAGCCGTCTCACTGAGGCTGTTGAAAAACTTCAATGAGTTAATTCCCACACAGGACACAGACCAGGATGGGAGTCCTGAGGACCCATGGTCCAGCCAGGGGCTTGCCCACCCTCCACGAGGGGCTCTAGAGGCACCATCCATCGGGGGCTTCATCTGTCCATGACTTGCCTCAGCTCAGCCATCAGATGAGCCCTCCTGGGCCAGGCTTATGAGCCAGGAGGCAGGAACAGAATGGGGGCTGAGTCCTCTCACTCTTGGGCCGATGGCCTCTGTCCTGTCTCTCCAAGCCTGGTCTCCAGACTTCCTGGCCATGCTCTGAGCGCCCTGAAATCCTTCCAATAAATTCCCTTTTGAGCACTTAAGATGATCAATCAGTCTCTGTTACTTGCAACCAAAAAACCTGGCTAACATAACAGTACTCGCTCTGTGCCAGGCCCTGTTCGAAGCAGAATTTCATTTAATCCTCATAGCAACTTACAGGAACCATAATTGGCCCCATTTTGCAGATGAGAAGACTGAGGCCTAGAGCAGTTGATTACCTTGGCCAAGATCACACAACTGTTAGTGGCAGAGTCGGAATTCAAACCCAGACCACAAAAATTCCTCTCTACTCAACACTAAGCATCTTACAAGCATTGCCTCATTCGTGATTATTAGCCCAGTTTCATAGCTGATAAACCAAAGCCACAAATCACAGAGTAAACCGAGCCAAGATGTGCCTGTGGGTTCTGGGAGGAGGAGCTTAGAGTCTGGAGCTGGTGAGGTTGACCCATGAGGTCACAATGTGGCCTCCACGGGACACAGCAGGGGCAGGGTGCCCCAGCCAGAAGGCAGGGCAGAGGCAGCATGGGCTGTGGCCCCCAGTGGTGACCAGCCCTGCCATGGGAAACAACAGTTCTCACAAGAGGACCAAAGTGTCCAAGCAGGCCTGCAAGGAGAGGCTGCCCAATATGGACAAGGCTGGGCAGAAACAGCAGTTCAGCCACCTCAAGCGAAAGAAGCCAAGCGTGAGTGCCAGGGTGCTGGGGGTAGGTAGGAGTCAGGGGTACTTGAACAGGTGGGCAAGAGGGAATGCTGGGAGTCTAGGCCTTGTGGGCCTAAGTCCGAGGGCCATAGAAAGGCTTGGATAACTCCTCCTGAGGATGAGGGTCCCAGGAACCTACGTGGGTGTGGTTGGGTCCTAAAAGCCCAGAAGGGAGGGCAGGGATTCAAGAAACCAGGAGACTTGGGAGTCCAGGAGGGTGGGCAGGAAGGGATTCTCCCAACTCTGACAGACGGGTAGAGGGCTCAGCAAGGAGAATCAGCCCTAGTTGGTACCACAGAGGCTATGGGCACAGGGTGTTCTCGTATGCCCCCTCTCCAGCTTCTAGCCATAAAATGTGCTATTCTTCTAGGGTGGGTTAGAGTCCCAGCACCAAGGCTAGGAGGGCAGGCAAAGATCCCATATACGTCGACGGTGCAAGGTCTCGGGAGGTCAACCTAGGGTGGGTTTCCAGAGGGAAGGCAGGGGTCCTGGGCGATGGGACAGGGGGAGACCCACTCCCGCCCCCTGGAAACGTGAAGGGAACTGAGTCCCAGGAGACAGGACCTGGTGGGTAAGGATCCTCAGCAAGAAGACGCGGTGTGCTCTTCCCCCAGGCCAAGATCGTGCTGCTTTTCCCCTTGGACAAGCGGCAGCAGCTAGCCGACGTGGCGGCGGGCCCCGGCGCGCGGCCTGGGCGGCCAGGTGAGGACGCGACGGGCGGCCCGGTGGGCTCCCCGGCGGCGGCGTCCATGCTGCGAGGAGCGGGCGACGGCGCTGATCGGCGCGAGGGCGCACGCGCGCGCGAGATGAAGATCTTGGTCCTGCTGCTGCTGCTG